CCTCACTGTCCATCTCTCTGTCTTCCCTTGAATTGAGTAATTTCCTTGACAAGGTGGAAGGAGAGGTTTCCCCTGCCTTCCCAAGCCTGGAGGGTTTCATCTGTGAATACACCTCTTTCCTGGGGTCTTCATCAGGAGGGTTCTATAGCAAGGAAACAGTGAGACAGAGACCATGTCTCCTGGTTTTCCAGGGGTCTGCTCAGTCAGAGTTCTACAGAGTGACCAGTGATTCTTTAGACCATCAATAAGACTATGACATTCTTATCTGGTCTTCATGGGCTTTCTGAGTACTTGGGTTGTCTGGCAGCTTTGTTCCTCCATGTCTGACCTCATTTTTCTGATGCCCTCACTCTTCATGATGTCTGTCTGTGCCTCTGATTTGAGGTTTGTCCTCAGAACACACCTATTAGATTCCCCCCTCCCCTTTTATTTAACACTGGCCCTGTATGCCCCACACTCCTTCTATGATTTATTTGCCTAAAACACTGTATTCTTCACACCCTGCACTGCTCCTACCTGGAGCCTGGTCAAGAGGGATCTCCAGGGTCTAGGGAGATGCCTCGGCCAGTGAAGTGCTTGCTATACAAGATGAGGATGGAAGTATGATCCACATCACCCTGCCATGTTATATTTAGAAAAGACCACACAAGCCTGTGATCCCAGCTCTGGAGAGAAAGGGACTTGAGAACCCTCATATTCTTCACCATCTAGTCTAACCACATCAATGAGTCCCAGGTTCAGAGGTCCAGTGATAAATCTGTCTGAAAAAAAAGAGGTGGGGAGCAATTGCGGAAGTCACCCTGTCCTCCACAAAGGTGCATATATACAAATACATATGTAAAAGAAAAAGTGAGAGAGGGAGTTCCCTGTGAGTCCATGGGAGATGAGTGGAGGGGGCGCAGGTGCACGAGGTCTTATTTACTCATGTGTCCTATTGGTCCTCTTATCAGGGCTGGAAATCAAACCCAATGCCTCATCCGTGTTAGATACTCACTCTGCCACTGAGCTGTAGCTCAACCCCTCCGGTGTCTTTGGGAACATGGTAAAAGCCAGACAGATGCTGAAGAAACACAGAAGAGGCAGCGAAGGGCTACATGGTCCCAGAAAACCAAGAAAAATGAAGTCCTAGCAGAGAGTGGCAGATGCCTCCGGAAGGAAGGGATCAGCTGTGCATGTGACTGAGGGCTGAGATTTGGGAGGACAGGGAAGGACTCTGGGAAAAATTGGGCCAGAAGCTCCTCAGCAGTGTTAGCTGGAACAGGGTCTCACCAGACTGTATAGCTCCACTCTGTCCTTAGGCTGTGCGATCCTCACAGCAGCATCTGTTGTGGAAGAAGAAGGTGGATCCCTCTTGGATAGAGTCCTGGGATTTCTCAGTTCCTTAGATCCCTGTGCATCCCACATGGGGATAGAGCTAAGAATTGTGGTGATGCCCCTAGGAGCATAGTGAGGGCTCAGTCCCATGGAGCACTGACTACAGACCCTCTCCATCAGCTCTTTGATGTGAAGAACTCAGGTATCCCCCTCCCTATGG